TCTCTCCCTCAGATTGTGTTGGTATCACTGGAAGTTGAAGGTGTTCATTTCCTGTTAGGGCACTGCAGGCTCAAGCCTTGCGTGCAGCAGGTGTGGGCATCTGGGATAGGGTCTAGAGTACTGCAAAGATTGGATCTTGGGTTCGTGTGTTCTCCTGCCTGGGATGGGAAAAAAAATGAAATTAATTAAAATATAATAGGTTGGATGCTATGCTAGATAAAGAACATGTTTTGGAGTGAGAAAGCTGTTGTGGATAATTTAACTCACATTTTGATCCTCTCTTTACAGCCACAGGGACTTAAAACCAGAAAACCTACTGCTGGATGAAAAGAATAACATCCGGATAGCAGACTTCGGGATGGCATCGCTGCAGGTTGGGGACAGCTTGTTAGAGACCAGTTGTGGGTGAGTGTCTCGGAACATATTGCAAACATCAATGACAGATTCCACACATAAAAGTTGTCTGTTGTAAGGGTTTCAGTAAAGACCTGCAGACTTATACCATGCGTTGTTATCTCCCAGCAAGGTAATAAATTGATATGATGCACATAGTGTATAAGATAGCTAAAAGATGGGGTTTTACATGCCTTACAGTGGAGAGCAGGCCTCTGTAGCTGTCACATGGATATAAAAATCAAGGCTTTCAGGTTTGGATTCATCTGCATATGCTGATGTCTGTTTGCTTGCACTGGCCATATAATTTCTGGGAACTGAAAGCAGTAGTGTTGGCTGTTTTAAGAAGAGTCTTTAAAAATATTAGGGAGTGAAAAAAAAACACCAACCCAAATCTAGGGGTTCTGAAATGGAATTTGCATGTCCTGATTAGGCTGCCTGCTTGCAGTTCTTCCTGTTCAGGCTCCACATTGCTTCTTTTCGGCTCACATGCAGGACGGACGGGGAGGCAGCAGGGTCCTTTGCAATTACAAGCAGGGCATGAATGCAGACACAAAGGAGACTGCTTGGAGGAATATTGCAAGGGCAATCTAAAAACATTTCCATGGACACTCAGTTGCCAGCAGGAGCTTTCTAGGAATTTCCAAGGGAGCCAGCAGTAAGCCCAACAGCTGAGCCAAGCCCAAGTGCCAGGCTGGGGACAAGACGTGCTCTCCAGGGACAATGCCCTCTCATCACCATCGCCCCTAGGGGCACCACTGGACCGTCCCCCCTCACCCCCACAGCTTCAGCTTGGTGCCGTGGTGACTGTGCAGGGGGCTGCCGCGATCAGCTGTGGCCCGGGCAGCGACTGCGTCGAGCTGCTGCAGCCTGGCACCGCTCCGCCGGCTTTTAGCCGTGCCTGAATTGGTTAGAACAGCGAGCCCAGCAACCAGAGTTGCAGACAGTCCCGGCGGGTTTGCACCTCCTCCCGCCCAGACCTGTGCTGCCTGGCCTCTGGGAGCATGAATCTGATGACTCCAGCCCAGCCCTGTCCTCAGCTGGTTACAGTCGGTGTTTTTTCATGGCTCTGTGCTCTGAGCCAAGACAATTCAGGGGAGACATGAAGCCATCGTGGTTCCCTCTGCAGCGCAGCCACTGCCTCTCAGTCCTGAGCTGTACCGCTCTGCTTTCCGAGTCATGAATAATGGAGAGCAAAATTATTTGAAGTTCATGGTGTGATCGAATGCTGGTTGATGAGTACACTGAGACCCCCCCTATTCCTTCCTATCTATGTCAAGTCAAGATTTGACCTCTTAACAGCACAGATGAAAAGCAGGGAGCTATGAGTTTGCACATCTGTTGTTTGCAGCTGCTTTCAAACCTTCCCTCTAGATTAGGAAATGAAGTCCTCCCTGCAGTTACCACAAAGCCTCTATACTCTTTAGGTAAAATTTTCTCCCTTCCTTCCACGAAGAAAACAAGAGGAAGTATAAAAACCAACCCCATCTTTGGATTTTTCAAACTCCTAGGGAGCCCCTTGGTAGGGTTCCTGTTCTTGTTAGGACTGGGCTCTGTCATCCAGGTCTAGCATCTCAACGGGAGGCTTCCTTTCCATAAGCTGTACTGGAATTCAAACCTCCGTGCTTCAAGCAGAGCCAGCTCCCACATTGTGGCCTTAAAATGCACTAATAAAGAAATCAATGGAATGGAAGAGATGTGCCTGTAATAAACAGAACACAGCAGCAACGCTATGATCTCCTGCCTTGCAAACGCATTTTAAGTGTGGTGCCAATCACTAGGCCTCCGTGTGAGCTATTACACCACTTCATTAATTCTCCTGGCATGGAGCCCAGCATGGCTGATGCTGGTGTCTTGTGATCTCTGTGGTTTGGGAGGTGAAGGGAGGAAGGAAAGAAGGAAGGAAGGAAGGAAGGAGTATATAACAATATGCCACACTGTTCACAAAGAAAGGCAATCCAGTTATGACTTCCTTTCCCTTGGAGCACACACAGTAACCAACCTCAGAGCTTTCCAAGGCAACAGTTTTACCTACTCTAGTAGCTGGTACTTCCAGCCAGCATGAAAAGGAACAAACCAGAATGAATCATGGCTGAGATACTGAGCTTTAATGAGATGCTCCTCCGTGCACCCAGAAGTTAATTTACAGAATGGTTTTATCTGTGCTGTGAACACTGATAATGAGATGAAACTGTAACATTTCCATCGACAGTCACTCAAGGAGTCTCCAGGTATTTCTGTCAGTCAGAGTGGGAGGATCAGATGGGGTTGAGCTGTGTGATGCAGCTAACTTTGTCAGTACAGCAGAGCAGTTAGTGCTGTCAAAAATTCTTTGCTGTCACAAGTGAACTGCTAAGTGTAGTCCAAAGTTTGGGTAGGCTTTTAGGTCACCGCAGAGCCTTGACTGGCCTCATGAAGATAATCCCATAGCTGAACTATCCTGTATTGCGTTCCTCAGAGTCAGGCTTTTCTGGGAGCTACTCCTTAGGTCTGCACTGTTTTCTGTAGCAGTGCTGCCTACCTGGAGAAAACAATAAAAGTTTGATCCAGTTGTGTTTGTGTAGGAGAGGGAGGTAAGGATGGACTTACTGTTTCATTGACATTATTTGTTGCTGACAGACTGCACGTTGGGCCTTGATTGTAACGAATCCCCGTTACTGGAAATGTGTATTGTGCAAATCCTGCATATACACAGCACAGAGGAATAAGCCATAGTTTTGAACATGTCTTTAGACCCTTGAGGGGAAGAGGAGCTGCATATAGGGTCTGCAGGAATAATTCTACTTACTGCAGAAACTGCACAACGAGGTGGTCTCATGGAGAGATGGTCCTTGAAACGCCAACATAACACCGTGAGCCTCTGCATTCCTCCAGGAGCAGGGGAGACCTGTGAGCAAAGAGGGGACAAGGAAGGAAGTGGAAGATGTGGTGGGATGCCGCTTCTATTATTTTGGATCCCTTTGGCTCTTCCTCCTCTTTGCCCACCCAGGCAATGGCATGTAGAGACACTCCCCTGTCTCTTTTCACAGCAATTCTTCCCAGCACGCTGCCTCGCAGTATTTCAGAATGGTAGACGTTGTCCAATCCATCCTACATTGTCACTGGGCGAGAAGAGTGAGTGCCTTATGGTGAAACCTCAGGACTGAGACCCAGGTGATCTGAGCTTGATTTCTGTCTCTGCTGAAGGCATTCAGGGTGGTCTTGGACAAGATGCATTACCTTTCTCTGCTTCAGTCCTCCATCTTAGCAAGTCATTTCAGTGCCCAGGTTGCTCCGCACATAAATTGCAGTCATTTCTATAGGAGCCCTGGAAAAGTAGGAAGCGTTGGGGCATTCCCTGAACCTTGTTCCCTTTTCTTGAACTGAGGGGGCTTATGGCTTAAAAGAAGAGTTGAAAGAGGATACTTTTGAGTTACAATTCTTGGGAGTTTATAAAGATCCTTCCTAATTTCCCATTGCTCCTTGCAGAAACCTGGCAAAGTAAATTTTTGCCATCTCTTCAGTTTTTCCTCTGTTTCACTCATCAGCTTCGAAACGCTGAGTCCTGCTGGATGGAGATTGCTGCAAGCTGCTAGGTGACCAGAACCCACAGCAGTACTGTGTCTGTGCTGCCCACCTCCAAATCTCTGTATCTCAACCAAGAGCTAGGACAGAGCTGACATGTAAATGTTGCTTGCTCCAGCACCAGACCCAGTCTCTGCAGAGGCAGTCAGTGTGGAGACTGACACCACTGCTGACAGCCCCACAATTGACTGTATGCCACAGTTCCTCCGTATTGGTGTCTCCGTAGGGAACCCCTGGCCTGATCCAGAGAGCTGTGTGCATGTGGGAAGAGCGATGCTGCTGCTGATTTTATTGAGAGTGAGAAGAAAACCTTGCACCTGTCAGTAGCATAATGGAGGAAAACAGCAACTTCCAACCCCAGCACGATCAACAACTCTGCTCTCAGCTCTCCCTAGCAATTCCTAGCAACACTTTGCAGACCCATAGATTGGATCTATTAAAAAAAAAAAAAAAAGCATATGTTCCCATTAGGACTGGTTACTGGCTCTTTTTGAGCCCGGGGTGTTTATTACAACTAATGCAGTGTGTGTTTGTTAGAAATGCTGGCAGATACCATTCAGCTCCTGGTTCCCTTACATCTGTATTTGGTGTATCAGCACACCTGTGATGAGCAGATAATTCAGAAGAGCGATATTCAGTTGCCACACACCATTTCTGATTTAATGACATTGTGCTGCACATATTCTTTCCCCTTTGTAGTAAATGTGTGCATGTTGTCTGAAACATATGCAAGCGTCCCACATCCAGTTATTGTTAGGGTTGCAAATTTAGGCTCTTAAAACTGGAAATGCCAGAATTAGTACTTTTTATCCCATCACATCAAGAGCTTTGCATTCCCAGTGCTCTGTTCCCATCTCCTTCCCTGATTTGCCCTCTAATCTTGCTGACTTCTCCCAGTCATTTCTGCTCTGTATTTGGCCCCAAATCCTAGATCATTTTTTCTTTTCCACTAGATTCCAGCTTTAGTTTCCCCTACCTCATTGTCAGTTGCTGTCAGTCTTGGATCTATTTCCCATTGGCTTTGCATTCACTTTGTTTTAAAGCTTGGTGCCTTGTGATAACCCCAGCCACAGCAGCTCATAGTATCAGTTTCAGGTAGAAAAATTGCTCTGTGAAGTGTTACCAGCGCAGGCAGAATTTTGATTCTGATGCTTTAGAGAGTTTCTGCTAGTAAATGCAAACTGCATTTTTCTGGTGGCAGTTTGAGTAAATTTTTCTAGAGAATGCAAACAAATACTCAGGTTTTCCCTCTGCAGTTGAGGATACTAGAGAAAACATTTTATTTAGATTAGACTTAACTAGTGGAAACGTTTTGGCCCATACACAACATGCATGCACACACAAATATGAAACCTGTCTGAGGCAGATAAAAAGCAAGGAAAATTGTGGTCAAGTTGTTCAATTGATGGTAAGTCATAAGCAACTTAAATAAGGATTATAAAGGGAAA